CACTCTCGCCCTACACGGTAACTGCTCATTGAACACAATTATGGAAGGATGCTTTTGGAAATCTAACATGGTGTTTGCTAATCACTATCTGAGAGATATCACCACCGAGGACGTATCTGGCATTCACCATTTCGGTCCCTTGGTCCTCGCTCAGCAGCTGACAGTCCCTCGTAGGCGTTAAAAATTACCCTCACGAGATTATTATGTATGGTATACATACATTATCTAGCTTATAACTCTACGGAGTTCTAGGGCTATGTATATACTTAGCTTAAGTTATTCAGCCTTAAGCTTATACTGATATTATGTTCAGTTGTACAGCGTCTCTATCAGAGTCGCTTTTATATTTCATTATTTATATCTATGTAATATATCTCAGTATATTATTAATGTAATACCCCAGTTATGGCATTATATAACCTATGGTTTATAATAGAGGAAATATCCTAAGTCTATGCCTTCATGAAGTTCCGTAAGGGGTTATTACAGTTATATCTATTCAAATCACTAATTATAAATCCAAAGTATTCTGTTTTCCCACCTCCGGTTCCGTCGGATTCTACAAGCAAAAAAGCATGAGTCAGGATAAGGAAAAATATGTAATTTTTAGAGTAAAATTGATATTTTATACTTATCCTGACTCATGAATAAACTCCTCCATCCTCCCCACATAACACTTTGGATTTCCCTGTAAATTCAAGTGTTGGGCTCATAAAATCAGGGAGAGTGAAGCATGAGGCCAGAGGGTGGCGACACCTGTTCCGCCAAAGGGCAAAGGGAGGCAACTCGTGGTGAGTACCAATTAGTGATTTTACATTGAAGGGAGCTTCAATTAAGGAGATACAAGTGTTCCACTATGTTAGCAAGAAGAAGAAGACAAGCAAAAAGCATGAGTCAGGATAAGTATAAAATATCAATTTTACTCTAAAAATTACACACAATGCTGAATGTTACAAGTTTTGACAAATCCTTGAGGAACAGGACTGTTATTTATGTAATTGTTGTTTAACACCATACTCAGCAATATTACAGCTATGTGGGGGCAGTCTGTAAATATCTGAGTCTGGATGGAACAATCCGGTGATTGACATCATGAGCACATCTATCAAGGACTTAGGTTGTAATGATATGCATCACACAAGTCTGTCAGCAAGCCTGACCACCCGGTCCCATCAGTCGCCATTTACAACAAGCATGGGTTGCTGATGGCCGGAGCGGTGGGGTAGCCTAGTGGTTAAGGCGTTAGCTCTGTAATGACGAAGACCCGGGTTCAATTCCCCGCATGGGTACAATGTGTGAAGCCCATTTCTGGTGTCCCCTGACGTGATATTGTTGGAATATTGCAAAAAGCAGCGTAAAACCAAACTCACTCGGTCACTTACTTGCAGATGACCAATTCTGACCCTGATCTTTTCAAAGGGACATAACTTTTGATCCATTAAACAATATTCTCTCTCAGGCTCTGAGCAAAGTCCGGCAGGAGGTGGAGACTGAGGAGAATAGACTCAACCGGGTGAGTGCACTTATATAAAGGGATGACAGGTATGCTGTCACGTGTACATATCACAGATCTCATACCACAGAATTCCAGGAATTACTTGTCCGAACATTAACTAAACTTCAACTAACCCCATTGCTTGTATAGTCCTAATGCCTTTGTAGATAATTTGTAGACACTCTTGCAGTCTTTATTCAACACTATGTATATTAGTTGCAGCCTGTCTAGAAATGGGAAATCATTCTCAAAGTACATTAGCTTGTAGATCATGTAGATAAAATCTAACATTCTGCAGATGTAATCTCTCAGTTTGACGCTCAGTTTATCAGTGGTACCCAGGTTGTGGTTTCAGTGTAGAAATTTGGTAATCTGTATATTTGATTTCTTAGGTGCTTAGGATTATTGTCAATTTAGCAAGGGAACATTTCATACTGAAAGACGATAATTAGTGAAGCAGAAAGCCGGGGTCTAAGGAAATAGGATTGTCCCGTAGTTGAAGATAAAATTCTGGGGTTCCCTATTTCTCAATTATCGAAGCAATCCTTGAGTGCCTGTTTTTTAAAATGATAAAAGCCAAACTAATATTTTTATATATATATATATATAAATTATATAGGTGAGATCTAAGAAATATATGTCTTAGTTGCTGAGCTGAAAGGTGAAGGACACTAGATGTACTGTATGCCGCAGTGAAGTACACTTTGTGAGTTACCTTATAATGGACATCATGACACTAGTCAAGTTACCTCCCCTGTTGCCCTTGTTAACCTACCAGGTCCAGTTATTCCTGTCAATCAAGATAGCACGTCCCCATCAATAGCTTGTTATCAACCAGTGAAACAGTGGTATTTCTGTAAGAGTTGAATAAAAGCCAAAATACTGACAATATTGTGACTGAGCTTGTACAAGGAGAGTTTGCATTCTATTTCGTAGTGATTAATAGGATTAATTCTTCACATAAATCAATGAATCTGCTAACTGACAAACTTGTGTAAATACAATATTAGTTATTCTCAGTTCTCCTAGCTTGGTAGTTAGATGTAGAGTTTTAGGGGGTTCTTCGTAATCAGTGCAAGCTCTGGCGACAACTTATCTACAAAGCAATCTTGTAGGGCATGATATATAAGCTTTTTTATGTATTTTTACAAGCTTTTATATATACTTTTGCTTTTATATATTACCTGTTTCTCATTAACATTATATTTGTGTATGTTTATTAATTCATCTGTATATATATTTGCTTATGTTGTTTGAATATGTAAATTTTTGTGTTTTTGAATTTATATAAACATTAATTTGGTTTGTTATTAATAATTTGGAACAAAGTTTAAAGTATCGTGCGGAGTGATGCAAATGTTTTTGCCCCATTTTGTCCTTGCTTTGGTTTATGGGAACCCGTGTCTTTCGGTAGAGATGCTGGCCTGCGCATTCATGCAAATAATGTGAATCAAAGATTCAGAGTTACTTCTTATGTCAGGACATATGTCAGAAAAACTCCCCATTTAGTATTCAGTTGAGACTTGTTACTAGTAGTATTTGCTTGTTTATGGCCGATGAGTCACTTGCTAATGGATAAACTGGCTCTTTCCTTCAAAACTGAACATACAGAGTTACATCCCTTTGTTATACCGGGATCTGCTGATTGCTGGCGCAAAAGATCATAATTGTTATTCGTTAATACAAACCATTCCTATCATCACCTGTGTATCGAGATACTTATTGTATGGTGACCCATGTATTGTGATAGTATCATGTTCATGCGTATCAAGATACGTGTTGTATCAGCATACATATCATGTTGTGGCCACCCATATTATAGCAGTCCTTGCTTATCATCATCCAAATCCTTCCACAAATGCATCATAGAATGTGCTTGCATATTCATTGTCCCATTCCTGCCGCGGTATATTGACAGGTCCCAATAAGAGTTACCCCCCCTTGCTGCATGTGCATGAAAGCGTCCCGAGCCAAGCTAGCCGTAGTTTTAGATGTATTAACATTTTGTTTCTTTTTGGTTTATTTCCATCACGTAGCTTGTCAGTAACGCTAACATAGAGTTGGACACGCTGCGTAGTGAGCTGAACACTAGACACCAGGAGCTGGCTTCAGTCACGCAGGAGATCGACTCGATCAAGGTTTGTTATCCAGCATCAGCAACAGGTGGACTGGATGTGAAGCACGTGCTTGTGTACCACATGCTTCTTGTACCACGTCTGAATATCAGTGCTTATATACCATGTGCTTCTTGTCTACAACAGAACAAGGTTTTATGCACATTATTGCACATCAGTTCAAAAAGAAAATGCTGAATTTGCTTAATTTGAATTTTACTGTACATGTTATCAGCTGTCAAAAGGCCACACAGGGTACTTGTCAGTTTGACATATATGTTTGAGTTTTGTGGAGTTTGTTGCAAAATTTAGAACTGTTAATGTTGTTTTTAGTTTATTTTTGTCATTTTTAGATGAACTGTTTTCTTTGTTTTCATTTGCTTTTAAGCTTCAGGTCATCTGTAAGTGATTCTAAAAATGGACAAGTGTAGCTTTAGTTGATAATTAGGCATATAAAAACAATATGTCCGTTTCCGGTAACCCGACCAACCCTATCCTAACCCACCCAACCCTAAATCTTTTTTTAACCAAGTCAAAATCATGACTGGAGTGCATTTCAACTCATTATTTTTATCCAAGTCGAATGTGATAGTTTCATGTTTTACAGTGTATGTAAGGCTAAAATAGATTGCATTGAATTGGCATAATGGGCTCTCACTCACAAAACCTGCAAATAAATAACATGAATAATGATTTGATATAGAAATCTATCAATGTTTCACCACAGGGCATTGTCACTACATGATATGGTTTCCTTGAAGACATTCTCAGGTGCCCACCTGGTGCAACTGAAAAAAACAAAAGTGAAGAAAAAACCGACCCACCTACCCTATTTTTAAAAAGCATGTAATAGGAAACAGACATTTTTTTGGGGGGGGGCCTTATGAACATGACAATATGTTATGATGGACTGACCAGAGAGAGCCCTTAACACATGAACTACGGTATGTGTAGCAATCTGTCATCAAACACAATCTTAAGTTGAGACTCACAACAGTTAGTTTTCCGGACACTGCAGTACCTTTTGCCACAAAACTACCGCCTCCGTGGTGTAGTGGTTAGAGCGTCCGCCCGAGAGCGGAAGGTCGCTGGTTCGATCCCCGACCGCGTCATACCAAAAGACGTTAAAATATAGTACTTGTTGGTCCCTGCCTGGCGCTTGGCATTAATGGGTACAACAAGGACTGGTCGGCTCGGAGTCAGTATTATGTGTCTGAGTGGGGTATTCATGCTTCACTGTAGCATGGTATCTCAGTGGGCTAGCACTATAAAACCAGCTTCAGTCTGGGCTAGTACAAGCAGCTGCACATACACATACACACGCATGCACGTCGTCATATGAGCGAAATATTCTCAAGTACGACATTAAACCCAATTTCACCACCTTTGCCACAAAACAGCACTTTATTATGAGAGTGGATTAGATAATTAGCTCTGATTTCTGTTCACACGTGCAAAGTTTATACTCCTTCTTACATACCTTTTACTGTGGATGAAATGAGTGAAAAATGTTTTTTCAAGCTTCAGCAGAGAATCAAAATATTATGCCTGTATCCCAAGATTTCATGCCATATATTTGTGCTGTTTTAAGTCCTGACAAAATCAGCATAGATTTAAGAGGTTAAGTTTGAACAAAGTCAGCCCTTTCAATACAGTTTACAGATTTTAATTTAGTGTTACATATACTTTAAGTAAGGTTTTGTACTTCAATGTGTGAACATTCATTACTGTTCTAACACTTTCTGAAATTGTTCTGAGTTATGGACATCTGCCAACAGGAGTCCATATCACACTGTGTACATTGGGGTACCATCTGTTGTACCATGTACCATGTGCTGTACCATGTACCATGTGTTCTATCATGTACCATGTGTTGTACCATGTACCATGTGTTCTATCATGTACCATGTGTTGTAGTACTGCCTTAACATCAAGGTACAAGGAGTATCAGGACAGGTTTAGTCATGGTCGGTGTGGGCATTTTTGTTACAGACTGAAGCCAGTGACATCAATGAAAGTGGGGAGAAGTTTGCAGAGATGGACAAAAAGATCAAGGACCTAGGTGAGACATTACCTGTAAGATATTAGATCAAGGACCTAGGTGAGACATTACCCTTAAGATATTAGACCAAGGACCAAGGTGAAACATTACCTGTGAGATATTAGATCAAGGACCTAGGTGAGACATTACCCTTAAGATATTAGACCAAGGACCTAGGTGAGACATTACCCAAGGACCTAGGTGACATTACTGTAAAATATTAGATCAAGGACCTAGGTGAGACATTACCCTTAAGATATTAGATCAAGGACCTAGGTGAGACATTACCCTTAAGATATTAGATCAAGGACCTAGGTGAGACATTACCCTTAAGATATTAGACCAAGGACCAAGGTGAAACATTACCTGTGAGATATTAGATCAAGGACCTAGGTGAGACATTACCCTTAAGATATTAGACCAAGAACCTAGGTGAGACATTACCTGTAAGATATTAGATCAAGGACCTAGGTGAGACATTACCCTTAAGATATTAGACCAAGGACCAAGGTGAAACATTACCTGTGAGATATTAGATCAAGGACCTAGGTGAGACATTACCCTTAAGATATTAGACCAAGAACCTAGGTGAGACATTACCGTTAAGATATTAGATCAAGGACCAAGGTGAAACATTACCTGTGAGATATTAGATCAAGGACCTTGGTGTGACATTACCTGTAAGATATTAGATCAAGGACCTAGGTGAGACATTACCTGTGAGATATTAGATCAAGGACCTAGGTGAGACATTACCTGTGAGATATTAGATCAAGGACCTAGGTGAGACATTACCTGTAAGATATTAGATCAAGGACCTAGGTGAGACATTACCTGTAAGATATTAGATCAAGGACCTAGGTGAGACATTACCTGTGAGATATTAGATCAAGGACCCATCAGCGAATTGTTTTCCAAGTATTTATTTCCCATTACTCCTTGACATATGATTCTTGTTCTGTCACAGAATCTATGCAAAGGTTTGTACCCAAACTCATTTTTTTGTCATAGCATCTGTTTTGGTTGTTGGTTTTTTTTCCTTTTTGTTATAGATACTGAAACCTTGGTGGTGTTATCTTGGGAGTTGGCACAGTCATGATCTGATTGCAATATGGTGACAGGTTCCAGTTTACCTGTCGAAGGTGGTGTTGAGATCTTCATGACAATGTTAAATTCTTTGTAAAATGTTGTTGCTGTTATATAATACTTCCTCTTCCTACAGAGCGGGAGGTGAGTGATCGGAATGAAGAGAAGCAGGAGCTGGCTAAGGCCTTGACCTTGTCGTACGAGGAACTTCAGAAGCTGAGACAAGACACCAATGAGGTCAGTCAACATGTAGAGAGGAGGTCGGCTTTTGCAACTTGTCACTAACATTCTAAGACCTCGGATATATATAGGGAATTGCTTTCTGTGATTGGTTACTGACATTTTGAGGCCTGATTAATTATTCTAGCTTTACAGATTTCCTTCTCCTAATTATGCAAAGTTATTGAAAACAAATCCGTATTATTGTGTTGTGAGTTGTTTGTAAAGTGCCAGTAGGAAAACCTACAAGTTTGCACTTTGATTTCTATGTTTTTGTTTGTGAAATTAATCCTAAAGCAACAATAGAATTCCGTATCCATCTTGAGCTGACAAAGGGAAGCATGAAAGAAGAAGTCAGACTAGATAGATAGCCTGTTTGTCCATGACTAGTGAATATCCAGAAGGACTAACCCGTAAAGGTCTGCGTTAGAATGAACCCAGTAACCCATGCTTGTCGTAAGAGGTGACTAACGGGATCGGGTGGTCAGGCTAACTGACTTGGTTGACACATCACATCGGTTCCCAATTGCGCAGATCGATGCTCATGCTCTTGATCACTGGATTGTCTGGTCTAGACTCGATTATTTACAGACCGCCGCCATATGGCTGGAATATTGCTGAGTGTGGTGTAAAACTAAACTCACTCACTCACTCAGTCACCAGAAGGACTAATTGTCTTCCTCCAACGTCAGGTTATTATGTAAGCCACTCGTATGAAATGAGCTGATGAAAGATTGGATTTGGTCAGCAGTTTCTACTCAGGTTATGATAGCAGGGGAGTTACAGCTTTTTCCTGTCTTGCATTAGATCTGAGTTTAGTTCCCCGTGTGTATTGCTTGTGAACCTGTCTTGCTGTTGTGGTATCGGTGGAGTAGTACTAACATCTGTCAGCCCATCACCAGTCAGTCCCCTGTGTTCGACGTGGCACATTGTTGGACGTGTTAGTGGCCCTCACAATTGTCTGATATTGGTCAGTGTGGCTAAACTGTCCTGGATGTCCACAGGAACAGGAACGCCTGAACACAGAGAGAGTAGAGCTCCAGAACACACTGCGAGACGTGCAGGAACATCTAGAGACAACGAAACAGGTACCAGAGCTTAACACTTACATGCAGATAAAGTAGAAAGTAAAGTAGATCCTTTACTGTAGATTAGGTAGAGACGGAGATCCTTTACTGTAGATTAGGTAGAAATGGAGATCCTTTACTGTAGATTTGGTAGAGACGGAGATCCTTTACTGTAGATTAGGTAGAGATGGAGATCCTTTACTGTAGATTAGGTAGAGACGGAGATCCTTTACTGTAGATAGTTTAGAGATGAAGATCCTTCACCACATAAATATGGATAGACAAAAGTATCCTTTGCTGGAGATTAATGTGTGACGAAGATCCTTTACTGTAGATATAGTAATGACAGATCTTTTACTGCAGATTACGTTCAGGCAGAGATCATTGTCTGTAGAATAGAGACAGATTCTTCATACCATAGCATGGGTAGAGATTATTTCTTGACTGTAGATTTGGTAGAGACACAGAGATCCTTTACTGCAGTTTGGGCAGCGACATAGGGTTTGGTTGATATCCTTTTCCAGAGATTGGGTAGATGTGTAACTGTGAAGAACTGTCAAGAATCCATGAACTTTGAAAATGATCAACTACAGCCAAGTATGGCTTGTCCTTAGTGACGGTATTAGTCTCTCATAGGTTAAAGACAGGCAGCAAAGACTGACAACAGACTAATGACGTATTTCTTTTGGTCAGGAAATGGCCTTGATGCAGTCTAGGTCAACAGGTCAAGTGTCGGATCTCCAGGACATCGCGGAGGAACATTATAACCGGGCCAATCGGCTGAATGATGACCTCTCGAGGTTAAAGAGAGAGGTCCTTAGTACTAAGAAGCAGGTTAGCCATCTGCTTCATGTTTCTACCTGTACTGAGTGGATTAATGTGTTGGTCGCTGCCTTCAGTTTGTGTCAGACCTTTTGCTGCAATCCTGTTACAACCACAGAAATGGTGTAAGCCATGTAGGATAGTGTCTGTAGTTACAGTAATGATTGTGTAAGCCATGTAGGATAGTGTCTGTAGTTACAGTAATGATTGTGTAAGCCATGTAGGATAGTGTCTGTAGTTACAGTAATGCTTGTGTATGCCATGTAGGATAGTGTCTGTAGTTACAGTAATGCTTGTGTAAGCCATGTAGGATAGTGTCTAGTTACAGTAATGCTTGTGTAAGCCATGTAGGATAGTGTCTGTAGTTACAGTAATGATTGTGTAAGCCTTGTAGGATAATGTCTGTAGTTACAGTAATGCTTGTGTAAGCCATGTAGGATAGTGTCTGTAGTTACAGTAATGATTGTGTAAGCCTTGCAGGATAATGTCTGTAGTTACAGTAATGATTTTGTAAGCCTTGTAGGATAGTGTCTGTAGTTACAGTAATGCTTGTGTAAGCCATGTAGGATAGTGTCTGTACTTACAGTAATGCTTGTGTAAGCCATGTAGGATAGTGTCTGTAGTTACAGTGATAATTGTGTAAGCCTTGTAGGATAATGTCTGTAGTTACAGTAATCATTGCGTAAGCCATGTAGGATAGTGTTTGCAGTTACAGTAATGTTGTGCAGAGTTGTGTCCCTTGGGTGGACCAGGAGCTATGATTATGGGTTTGAATCTGATTTAATGTGTTGGTTTATCACCAACTTGTGGTTTTTGCCAGGTGGTAATCATCTCATTCTTGCACAACTTCAGTCTTTGCTCACAATCTGACCCGCCATGATAAGACTTGATTAGTGTTAACATTGGCATCAAACCCAACTCATGTGAGACTAAGAATCACTGGTGACATATAGCCTGGTTACTTTCAGCTGTTGTCGCAGGACATGTTAAACATAAGGCTGGTAACGCTAGAGGAGGCACTTAGAACACGCGAGCAGAGCCAGTCACTTGTAGAGCCCGTGCGTGATACACCTTCAGACACACATGATTCCGACCAATCAGATGTGAGTACACACCATGCATGTGTATCACTCATCTTATGTGTACTCACCCCACAATTGTACCACTGTGCACAGCTATCTCACCCCATGTGTATGTACCACACTGTCGTATCACCTCACACAGCTAACTCACCCCATGTGTATGTACCACACTGTCGTGATCACCTCGCACAGCTATCTCAACCCACGAGTATGTACCACACTGTCGTATCACCTCACACAGCTAACTCACCCCATGTGTATGTACCACACTGTCGTATCACCTCACACAGCTAACTCACCCCATGTGTATGTACCACACTGTCGTATCACCTCACACAGCTATCTCACCCCACGTGTATGTACCACACTGTCGTATCACCTCACACAGCTATCTCACCCCACGTGTATGTACCACACTGTCGTATCACCTCACACAGCTCACTAACCCCATGTATATGTACCACACTGTCGTATCACCTCACACAGCTATCTCACCCCACGTGTATGTACCACACTGTCGTATCACCTCACACAGCTCACTCACCCCATGTGTATGTACCACACTGTCGTATCACCTCACACAGCTCACTAACCCCATGTATATGTACCACACTGTCGTATCACCTCACACAGCTATCTCACCCCACGTGTATGTACCACACTGTCGTATCACCTCACACAGCTCACTCACCCCATGTGTATGTACCACACTGTCGTATCACCTCACACAGCTCACTCACCCCATGTGTATGTACCACACTGTCGTATCACCTCGCACAGCTATCTCACCCCACGTGTATGTACCACACTGTCGTATCACCTCACACAGCTCACTCACCCCACGTGTATGTACCACACTGTCGTATCACTCGCACAGCTATCTCACCCCATGTGTATGTACCACACTGTCGTATCACCTCACACAGCTATCTCACCCCACGTGTATGTACCACACTGTCGTATCACCTCACACAGCTAACTCACCCCACGTGTATGTACCACACTGTCGTATCACCTCGCACAGCTATCTCACCCCACATGTATTACCACACTGTCGTATCACCTCGCACAGCTAACACCGATATCTGTTTCAGCAAAACACTAATCATCACCTGTTTAGTCAGTTTGACTCTATGGTATTTTTCTTTGTCAAACTGTAATTTTTTAAAACAGTGAGTTTCTTCATACCTCGACAGGGCTTAAAACCCTGGAGATGATTTTAAATTCATGGGATTAACTTATTCCTATTATCACTTTGAAAATTAGTTTACAGAAGCTATGGTGTTCACAGCAGCAGAAATGTCTCCTTTTAGTCAAGAACAAATCTACCCGTGAAGGTCCGGGTTAGAATATTGATCTTCTGTAACCCATTCTTGTCATATGAAGCGACTAACGGGATCGGGTGGTCAGACTCGCTGACTTGGTTGACACATGTCATCGGTTCCCAATTACGCAGATCGATGCTCCTTCTGTTGACACTGGATTGTCTGGTCCAGACTCGATTATTTACAGACCGCCGCCATATAGCTGGAATATTGTTGAGTGCGGCGTAAAACTAAACTCACTCACTCACTCAAGAACAAATCTTTTAACTTGTTCTTACACACCAAGTTTTCTACCAACCATGTTGATGTTGCCTGCTTCAGGAATCTTGACCCCACCCCTGACACGCCCACTGTGCACCAGACCCAGTCCCACCTACAAGAACACATGCTGGACACTAGACACATGCTGGACATTAGACACATGCTGGACATTAGACATTAGACACATGCTGGACATTAGACATTAGACACATGCTGGACATTAGACATTAGACACATGCTGGACATTAGACATTAGACACATGCTGGACATTAGACATTAAACACATGCTAGACATTAAACACATGCTGGACATTAGACATATGCTGGACATTAGACATATGCTGGACATTAGACATTAGACACATGCCAGACATTAGACACATGCTAGACATTAGACACATGCCAGACATTAGACACATGCTGGACATTAGACACATGCTGGACATTAGACAGATGCTGGACATTAGACAGATGCTGGACATTAGACACATGCTAGACATAAGACACATGCTGGACATTAGACATTAGACACATGCTGGACATAAGACATGCTGGACATTAGACACTGGACATTAGACACATCACTGGACATTAGACACATGCTGGACATTAGACACATGCTGATGCTGCTGACATTAGACACATGCTAGACATTAGACACATGACAGACATTAGACACATGCTAGACATTAGACACATGCTGGACATTAGACACATGCTAGACATTAGACACATAGCTGGACATTAGACATTAGACATGCTAGACATTAGACACATGCTGGACATTAGACACATAGACATAAGACATGCTGGACATTAGACACATGCTGGACATTAGACACATAGACATTAGACATTAGACACATGCTGACATTAGACATTAGACACATGCTAGACATTAGACACATGCTAGACATAGAGACACATGCTAGACATTAGACACATGCTGGAGATTAGACATGCTAGACATTAGACACATGCTAGACATTAGACACATGCTAGACATTAGACACATGCTAGACATTAGACACATGCTAGACATTAGACATGCTGGACATTAGACACATTAGCTGGACATAGACATTAGACATTAGATGCTAGACATTAGACACATGCTAGACATTAGACACATGCTGGACATTAGATTAGACACATGATTAGACATTAGACAGACACATGCTAGCACATGCTGGACATTAGACACATGCTAGACATAGACAGACACATGCTAGACATTAGACACATGCTAGACATTAGACACATGCTGGACATTAGACACATGCCAGACATTAGACACATTAGACATAGACATACATGCTGGATGACAGACACATGCTAGACATTAGACACATGCTGGACATTAGACACATTAGACAGACATTAGACATTAGACACATGCTGGACATAAGACACATGCTGGACATTAGACACATGCTGGACATTAGACACATGCTGGACATTAGACACATGCTAGACATTAGACACATGCTGGACATTAGACACATGCTGGACATTAGACACATGCTAGACATTAGACACATGCTGGACATTAGACACATGCTGGACATTAGACACATGCTGGACATTAGACACATTAAGACATGCTGGACATTAGACACACACACGCTGGACATTAGACATGCTGGACGATAGACATGCTGACATTAGACAGACACATGCTGGACATTAGACACATGCTGGACATTAGACACATGCTAGACATAAGACACATGCTGGACATTAGACACATGCTGGACATTAGACACATGCTGGACATTAGACACATGCTGGACATTAGACACATGCTGGACATTAGACACATGCTGAGACATTAGACACATGCTGGACATTAGACACATGCTAGACATTAGACACACAGACATTAGACATAGACACATGCTAGACATAAGACACATGCTGGACATTAGACACATGCTAGACATTAGACACATGCTAGACATTAGACACATGCTAGACATTAGACATTAGACACATGCTGGACATTAGACACATGCTGGACATTAGACACATGCTGGACATTAGACACATGCTGGACATTAGACACATGCTGGACATTAGACATTAGACACATGCTGGACATTAGACACATGCTAGACATTAGACACATGCTAGACATTAGACATTAGACACATGCTGGACATTAAGACACATGCTGGACATTAGACACATGCTAGACATTAGACACACACATGCATTAGACATTAGACACATGCTGGACATTAGACACATGCTGGACATTAGACACATGCTGGACATTACATTTGACACATGCTGGACATTAGACACATGCTGGACATTAGACATGCTAGACATTAGACACATGCTAGACATTAGATTAGACATGCTGGACATTAGACATGCTGGACATTAAGACATTAGACACATGCTGGACATTAGACACATGCTAGACATTAGACACATGCTAGACATTAGACATTAGACACATGCTGGACATTAGACATTAGACACATGCTGGACATTAGACACATACTAGACATTAGACACATGCTGGACATTAGACACATGCTGGACATTAGACACATGCTGGACATTAGACACATGCTGGACATTAGACACAAGACACATGCTGGACATTGGACACATGCTGGACATTAGACACATGCCAGACATTAGACATTAGACACATGCTGAACATTAGACATTAGACACATGCTAGGCATTAGACACATGCTGGACATTAGAGACATGCTAGACATTAGACATGCTAGGCATTAGACATTAGACACATGCTAGACATTAGACACATGCTAGACATTAGACACATGCTAGACATTAGACACATGCTAGACATTAGACACATGCTAGACATTAGACACATGCTAGACATTAGACACATGCTGGACATTAGACATTAGACACATGCTGGACATAAGACACATGCTGGACATTAGACACATGCTAGACATTAGACACATGCTGGACATTAGACACATGCTAGACATTAGACACATGCTAGACATTAGACACATGCTGGACATTAGACACATGCTGGACATTAGACACATGCTAGACATTAGACACATGCTGGACATTAGACACATGCTGGACATTAGACACATGCTGGACATTAGACACATGCTGGACATTAGACACATGCTTGAGATTGAGGTGCAGGATTGTTGACATGCTTCCATGTGCTGCCACAAACTGACTGTCACAAACACCCATCCCATTGACACATTGATTAGTTGTTCTAACATGACATGTCGCGAATATTCTCAGTTCTGTGAGTATTATTTGCGAGAATTAAGATCTGATTGAAATTAAACTAATTGAAATGGAAGCATGAAGTCAGTTTCTGCCAGTACATTATTGAAAATCCTTTATGAGAGTTGAACAGTTATGGACAGATTTCTAACCTCTTTGCAGTGCTTTGTTTTGCTTTTGGCTTGGCATGGCTTGGCTTGGCTTGGCTTGGCTTAGCTTGGCTTGGCTTTTGAACAAGCCTGAATGAAAGAACATTGAATTTGTGTCGTCACAGGAACAGATAGAGGTGTTTTTCTTTGTATCTAAGATTTAAGTATATAGTGTATTGAATAATGAGTTTGTTTTCAGAGAGCAGGATCTGTGAGTCTTCATGGTCTGAGAAACCTGTTACCCTGCGGCCATGTTGACCAGGGCAATATGTTTTAGAAGGATTCACTGACGAAATTTTGCTTTACTCTAAATGGCTTATCATACCCTTTAGACTATCTGTATATGTAAAGCCCTCAACTGGATGGTACATATGAATAATGATTTCAGGAAAATGACATACCCTGAGCTGAACCCAGGTGAAGGCGTGTGCTTCTTCCCACATCTAGCTGACCATGATATAACTGATCATGATATACTGTTCAGAGCTATGTTAAGCCAACTTGCTAATATCTAAGATACAGAATTTGTCCCTAGTAACCCAGTTACCCCTGTTGATCTGTGTTAGTGTCTGTCCGTCGTGTACATGACCAATGTCTTCCAGTAGACACTTCAACCTGGTCTGGATGATTCTACACCCAGAACAAAAGGGATCAAACTCTCAAATACTGATTTGCATGATCCAAGTCTGATATCACTTTGTTGGCTTCCTTCCTTCAAGACTTTCAACAGTGTTTACCGATGCCAAAGACAGCTACACTTTCAGCCAGCAGACTCGGGATACTGCTCACCAGTTTTTCCAAAACTCAACTTCATAGTTTTTCTTTGCAGACGGACAACAGCACAGACAATAAAGAGAATCGTCAGTCACGGCGCGATGTGTCTGTGTCACTGCGAGAGGAGTGGAGAAAGGAGGCCCTCAAAGACAAACTGCTTGAAGAACAGGACTATCTCAGAGTGAGTACAGTTTTACTAGTGGTCTTCAAGTTGTGGTAGATCAGAATTACCCTCCAAATTGTTTGGCTTCTGTCTCCAAAATGAAATGAGTATTTGAATGAATGAAGAAGCAAGTATTGGTTCTTTTAACAAAAATCCTAGAATATTATGTGGTGGGCCTTGAAGTGTGCACAACTTTCAGAGTTTGTCCTCACGTTTCAGCACCAGCTAAGGCAACAGATGCTGCGACACGCAGAGTCGATGGAGTCAACGCGACTACAGTCTGAGGGAACTATTGAAAGTCTCAAACGCAAGCTCAACACACTACAGGAAGTACTATTTAACAACAACAACCATCTCTCATCCGATATACACGCAATACATGAATTGACAAGGTCAAGGTCAAACTCTCCACCAAGGTCACCTTACGTAAGTTCATATGTGGTTTATTTGCATTTTTAGCTGTATTTTAATAAGCAAAAGTAAAATTCCTGTAGTTCCTCTTTGAGTTCAGAACCGTCAGAAACGACTCTCTGGAGCGGGATGTCATCATCTCAAATCCTGAAGCTTTGGTGATGAACATGTCCAGTTATTGTTGCTCATAACTGAATTCTGCTTTCCAGTCTCGGAATAGCTCTCAAAGTCCAAGAAGTCGGTTTAGCTATCTGGCAAATAGAAGGTCAAGGTCAAGGTCATCTGAGAGACCAGGTCAACTGATACCCGAGAGAGATTGTAAGTATGACCTATTAATTATGAATGTCTGATTATGGCAAACAAGACTAAGTAATGTGATAATTATGAACATAGTGTGATAATTATAACGATGAATTAACAGTGATAAAAAAAATAATGTGCTAATTATGAACATAGTGTGATAATTATAACGATGAATTAACAGTGATAAAAAATAATGTGATAATTATGAACATAGTGTGATAATTATAACGATGAATTAACAGTGATAAAAAATAATGTGATAATTATGAAAATGATAACAGATGATAATGAAAATAATGTGATAATTATAACGATATTAACAGTGATAATAATAACGATGAAATGACAATTATGAAAGTGTTGTGATTGTTATATGGTGATATGAACATGAAATGATAATTATGAAAGTGTTGTTCTTAAGTAGTTCAGTGTCAGTATAAGCACGAACAAATTCTACCATTATTACAAGCGGTTTTGTTAAACACCGTTGCATCTGGTTACCTCTGGAGAATAATAATACCTTTGTAACCATGGTAACCATATCTCCTCATCTTTACATATTTGTTATCATATTTTCTGTGTCAGTTAAAATTGATGATGACTTTTCACATTTCAGTGATGTGAAGAAATGGTAAACACCTGTCTCCATGGTTACACAACAGGAAGTCACATGACAATCAGGAAGTGAGGTGGCAGACTCATAGTGCCTGTTCCAGCCGGAGTGAGGGGTGTTTCAGTTTGCTGGTGCATATCAAAAGCATGTGTGTCAGTTGCTGGTGTGAATGGGATGTGTGAACTAATAGCTTGAATAGATCTGTAGTTGTCATAAACAGATACAAGGATTAGGAAAGTGCTTGAATTCCTCAGCAATATGACTTGTATGTTGTATATTCACCGGTTTGAGCAATCCGTGTCAAGTTTCCTCTGACTAACTTGACCTTGACTACAATAATAGGTAGAATTAAAGTATATATTCTATTTCTGAGCATCAAATTAACTGAATTCAAACTTTTTCTTAACTAAATACCACAAACAAAAAATTGAATTATTTTTTTGTCTGTCACCTTTGTGGAAAAAAGGAGTCTTAGCATTGCCAGGTTGGTGAAACTTTAGTTGAGAAGTGGCTTGTCACTGACTTGTACTATAGATAAATAGGTATTGAGTCAACTGATTACAGTGGACCAGATGTTTGCAGAGTTTGCAGAATTTCTGCAGCGTGAGATGGGTTATACATTGGCTACTGAGAATGAATGTGAAAACTGTGGTTGAGTGTGTGCAAGCTCTCTACATACAGTATTATAAGTTATTTTAATGTTTGTATGTTCCTGTATGTCTGCAGACATGCTACAAACATACAAACGGTTTGTACAAGCTAGCTGTGATATTATTGTTTTTACTTTTTATCTACTTACCCGTCCTTGTGATTCTAGTTCATATTACAGTGTTTTTGTAGTAACATATCACTTGTACAGGTTTACTCTCGAGACTGTATTATATGTAAATAGTTGTACATAGTCTTGGTGCGATGGAGGCCATATTTACGTTGCCATTATCAGACTGGGGCAAATCTTGCTACAGATCTGTAGACATGTTTTAATGGGAATATGCAGACATTGTGTCCTTGTTGCCATTATAGGATGAATGTTAGCTGAACTGATCCGTTGGATGGCATATCAGGACATAGTATGGTTTCATTTGACTTATTAAAATATCTTGCATAGTCATGTATGTCTGTTGGAAAAGACTAAATATGGAATGCATAAATTCATAATTCATGTTATCTTATAACTAAAGTAATGGTATTTAAAAATGGTGGTCCTCTACGATCATGTGAGAAATGGTTTTATAAGGGCCAACAGATTGAATCTGTCTCTGTTTATAGATATCTGGGTGTTGTCTTCACACCCAAGCTTATGTAGAGCAAAGCACAACTATGTTTATCATCTCAGGCTAACAAAGCAATTTTATCATTATTCAGTTTTCAAACAAAAATTGGTAACATAGACGGCTGTGATTTATTTAGGATATTTGACTCAATGATTGTGCCTATACCCTGCTATGGCGCAGAAATTTTGGGCACTGAATATTGTAAAGGTATAGAGGCCGTACAACTTAAGTTCTGTAAACAGTATTTAAGGGTAAACAAATCTACGTTTAATGGTATGGTGTTAGGTGAGTGTGGCAGACTCCCTCTCCAATATGTTTATGTCTTGCGTGTTATTAAGTACTGGTGTCGTCTCCATTTAACTGAAAGTAGGTTGCCTCGTCAATGTTACATTATGTTAAGATCTTTAGATGAAGCTGGACGCACCATTGGGTTTCAAAGGTTAAACAAATATTACTCAGGTATGGCTTTGGTTATGCTTGGTTTTATCAAGACATTGGAAATGTTGGTATGTTCATTTCTGTTTTTAAACAAAGACTAAAGGAGAATCTACAACAGTCATGGTATTCATCAATACAGGATTCTTCAAAATACTTTTATTATAAGCAGTATAAGTCTTTGTTGAATGTTGAAAAATACTTGTGTTCTGACGTTCCAGTGTATCTAAGGATGTCTATCAAGATTTAGATGTAGCAACTTTAAGATAGCAGTAGAAACTGGAAGATATGGCCATATTGAACTGAGAAAGACTTCATGTACTGCAAATCAAAAGGTCTGGATTATACTGAAAATGAATGGCATGTCATATTTGTGTGTGGTTGTTATAAAGATTTAAGAGTCAAATACATTGCTAAATTATACAAGAACCCTACACTGTACACACTATGATGAATCTGTTTCAAAATGAAAGTTATGATGTTATGTACAACATCGGCTTGTTTCTGTACCATGTTAACAATATTGTAAATTCTAGAAACAAATGAGTGCTACCGTATACCTTCTTAAAACATACGCACGTGAAAGATACAAACACAGCCCTATTATCTGTATGTATTATGGGCCAGTGGCCTCCTTACTGAATACACTGTCTGTCTGTCTGGTATCATAACATGTTTATCATAATTCATAATTACTTCTTTGTAATGTTTTAGCCTACAAGGTGACTGAAGGAAATATATAAGTTCCTGAATGCTCATGCTGTTGATCACTGGATTGTCATAGACTTACACGGGCCACAGACTTGATTATTTACAGACAGCTGCCATATAGCTGGAATATTGCCGAGTGCGACGTTAAGCAACAAACTAACCCATCTCTGTTCAAAAACTATTTCCATTTGCCTGCTAAGGGTACATTGTTGAAAACCCTATCTGATTTCCTTTTCATAATAAACCAACTCAAAATGGACAAGTTGGATATTGGTAGGTTAAGTTTAACTACACTGGGAGAATTCTGTGGAGAATACCATTTTCAAAACTGATCTGTCTCAGAGTTCAATGTCTAACTTGACAAACAAGTTTGTGTTGAGTTACTCTGTATGGGAATATTGTACAGATTTATGACTGATTTGTTTAGCCGTGTATTATATGTATATTCTGTGATTGTTGTGATATGTTTATACATTCCATATCTACGTGTTTGACATATCAAGCACCCTTGTTCAATAAGTGCCCCAATGAATATTGAAGTCAGAACAATTGAAATTTCCCTATTTTCTTATGTATAATTTATAGTTTTATTTACAAGTAACTGCTTTGGAAAGAGTTTTTGTTTTATAAGCGTTGGAAATGTTGCTTCACTACCACTCAATATCCGAAAGCAAATTTACCTTGTTTTGGGTTTTAATTAGCACCCCATTGGTCAGTTTTCTAAAAGCCTGGATTGCGCTTTATGTAATTACATTTACAAAGTCTGTGGTCTGTTGTAGGCATGTTGTGTTTTTAGATTTAAACATAGGCGATATGTTTGACAGCTAAAACAACTGGGTTGGTTAGCAGATATGTTTAAACCAGTGCATCTTGTTCACCTGTACGTTGATATAGTTCTGAGCATAATTATCAAATCCAGTTACTGCAACACTATTCCTGAAAGTGGCATTGGACCTTCAACTTCCAAGACAAATTATTGATGATTGTATACTCGCTCTTTAGTAGTATTTCTAAATGTATTTATTTGTTTAGTATTATATATTTAGGAGTTCTTAACATGCCGTGGTTACGTGACATTGTGTTCTCACTGAACAATATAACAAGATTTCCCACATTCTGTGAACTACAAGTATCTGTCTCTGTCAAATCTTTACAAAACGACATTTGCTTTGAGGTAATGTTTCTCAAGTGACTGAGGAAAACGTATCTGATATACTATATATACCGGTACATACCCACATGTATTATTATGCAGTGATCAGTTATATAATCAATGAATTTGTTGGACAAGTAAAAATATTGGATCGTGATAATATTTATTTACATATTAGGTTTGACATGTATATTTATGTAAGAACACTATGCTCATGGGTAGAGATGATAGTTCAACATCAGTTTAATCGTAATAATTTACCATGCTATGAAATTACCAGGCAAGTAATGGAGATTGTTTTGGGTTTTTTTTTTCTTTTTTTATTCCATTTCAAGTTGCATGTACAGATAGAAGAGTGACATGTGTTGGCATTTACATCAAGTTACTACAACACTGTACACACATATGAGGGTGTACATATATAGATAAATAGGAGTTAGTTTGAAAATATTATTACTGTAGCGGACACAATAGTTTGAGGAAGTCAAACTGCATCTGTGCTAAATTAAAATGTCAGAGTACCATATCTAAGTGTTGCCATTTCCTAGTAAAACAACTAAATTTATTATTTTTTATAATTTTCCTGAGATTTGGTGAAAAGTAATGGAAGATTTAGTCAAAAACGGTTGGAACCCTCCTCACATGTTGGAAATGTGATTGATGGCAAGAACCTGAGTGATCAGTCTTGCAGATATGCTGACAAGGCATAAGTCAAATCAATCACAACGTACTGACGTGTAGAGTCATCCATACATTACCAGAGTTTAGACATTGTCCAGCGTCAGTGTTGTCCAGATACCATTCCTTATACAAAGTAAATAATTCAAGGAGATTCCTGTCCAATGATATTACATTTCTGAGTGGACGAGAAAGAATGTTTAAAAATATAACTTTAATCGTCATAGAGTTAAAGTATTGGAAGATTTGCTATTCCATCCATTTTCAGGTGTCTCCTTCATATTTCTATACATTCCAATATGTTTCCAAATATGGCTGTATTACTTTACTTCTTGGTGTGTGTGTGTGTATTTGACAAATTTCTTTATCAGTATTTTGGAGAAAACATTCACTGTAAAGATGTTGTTTTCTTTACTTTAAAACCTGAGATATGACCGTGTTTGTTTTTGGTTTAACAGATAGTATAGATAGATGATTCACCTTGCTAAACAAAATCTTATAAACTCCTTTTCGCAATCTGAAACAAATATCCTTGCTCAGGGATCAGTGATATGGCAATTACAAGGAAACTATTCACTTTGTATACATGAAGTTCTAGTAAGGAGGTAGGAAAAGGATAGATACAGTTCTTAGTTCAAGGAAGGAGTCTGTAAATTTTTTGATGATGATGCTAGTTTGCAGTTTTAAATGTACAACAATCTTTGTAAGTAACTGGACCAGGCCCCGATTTCTCGAAACAAACTTAAGTTTTTACTCAAATTTCAAACTGAGTTGGACAATTTGAAGCAGCTGAATATCTAATTCAACTGCAGTTTTTAAATAAAAAAGCCCAAACAACTTAAGTAATCTATCCACCAAACTCAAATCATCTACTATGTTTGAGTTTAATATCGATTTTAGTTCATTCTGGGAAATGCATTTTCTCAAATTTGAGTAAAAACTCTAACTTAATTTTGAAATCGGGGCCTGTGTTTTGGGGGCCAAGATCTCAGCACAACTTCTTGCATCCCGAAGGCATGTCCGAAACCTTTGATGGTGGATCCAAGTCCTTGGTTCACTAGGTGATGAAACGGTCATCACAGTACCTATCGTTGTTAGTGACACTGAATAGTGGTAAATGTCAGACCAGCAGCAGTTTGAGTTTCAGCACTGTCATATGACTGAAATACTGTTGAAATTGGTGTGAGACAACTCACGAATAATATAAAACTGTTTAGTTTTAACATGTTAACAAGTTAACCATGTACTCCGACATCACTGACTGTTAGGGGAACTAATACAAGTTGTTGTTATCTGCTTATACAAGTTGCTCATTTGGAGTTGAGATCAGGGAACACAATCTTCCACAATAAGTTCTTGCAGATTTCAGAACAAATTAACAATTTGGGTCATTTCCATGGACAGTTTAGTTCAAATTCCTCAAGTCCCAGACAGGCCATCTGAATATTCTGCAACCCTTGTCATACCTTATAACAAATGTCTTGAGGATTATTAGATAAATTAATAATCTGAGGTGAATCTATTCCATCTGTGTTACTGTGTATACATGATCCATCCTTGCCATGTACTCATTGACAATAAAATAGTCCCAAACATAACAGTTGTGTCATTTCTTAATTATGTGTCATTAGAGTTCTCAGAGAATTGTCAGGCTAAACTGTACTGTCAGAACCATCAAACTTGTCTATTGGAAAGGCAATAAGGTTTTGGGACAAGACAATGTACGTTTACTACAATCATTCATGTTTCTTCTTTGAGAGGCATTTTAGATAGTCAAGTTGTATAGATGAAGGAAAACAAAGTTCTATGGATAGAACTTGGTTTCCTTTTCAATCGTTCATGTTGGAACTCAATCCAAACCAGCCAATCAGACATTTAGTTCATGTGAAACTGGATGGTCACATTTCATCCCAACCAGCCAATCAGACGTTTAGTTCATGTGAAACTGGATGGTCACATTTCATCCCAATAAGCCAATCAGACGTTTAGTTCATGTGAAACTGGATGGTCACATTTCATCCCAATAAGCCAATCAGACATTTAGTTCATGTGAAACTGGATGGTCACATTTCATCCCAACCAGCCAATCAGACGTTTAGTTCATGTCTGGATCACATTTCATCCCAACCAGCCAATCAGACGTTTAGTTCATGTGAAACTGGATGGTCACATTTCATCCCAACCAGCCATCCCCACATGGGTACAATGTGTGAAGCCCATTTCTGGTGTCCCCCGCCGTGATGTTGCTGGAATATTGCTAAAAATGGCGTAAAGCCAAACTCAGTCAGTCAGTCATCCCAATAAGCCAATCAGACGTTTAGTTCATGTGAAACTGGATGGTCACATTTCATCCCAACCAGCCAATCAGACGTTTAGTTCATGTGAAACTGGATGGTCACATTTCATCCCAACCAGCCAATCAGACGTTTAGTTCATGTGAAACTGGATGGTCACATTTCATCCCAACCAGCCAATCAGACGTTTAGTTCACACTCATGTATTAATACACTTTTGATTCATATGAATCTGTAAGTGTTCATACATGATTACATACTATTAATACAATATCTTATGAACGTAGTATGAATGTAACACATATTATATTTGGGATTACACTTTCTCAGGTAAGTACAGAGATTTTAGTAGTTTTGTTGGGTTGAATGCCGTCCGGGTGGTAGCTTGTACTTCAGCGAATGAATGCTGTATAATTCGACAACAATATCAAATGGAACTGTAAATGTCCACATAACAAGATGAGAGAGTGAGTGTGGTTTTACATAACTTTCTAGCAATATTCCAGCATTATCACAACCGGAACACTATCGAACCGGGAAAAGTTCCGCCCGTAACCCCCGCTTGAAATGCATTCTATTTATTAGGATTAATTCGAGGGTTTAGGGGGTATTCTTAGAGTTTAGGCTTTTTATATATAAAAACATGCCTATATTCTTAGGCATAGAATGATTTAAAAAAAAGTACGGGGCGGAAATCTTTCTATCATACCCATGTAGAAAATCGAAAACTACCCATGTTGTGTCGAGCTAACACTTGAACCAGTGTCTAGCTCACTGACCCATCAATGGCTGCATAACGTGACAAGGGACATAACTCTATAGGGTTCGCTTGAAATAATGTTCGGCCGGTAGAGGGCGCGAGAGTCGATTTAATGCAACGTTGCATTAATTCATTCGAACTTTTTTGTTTAATATTGTAATCTAAACACGTAATTGTTTTTGGAATAGATTGTATGGTAGTTCCCCAGGTGGATGATATTATTATTGAGAGAAATGCATTGTTTATTTTTAGAGAAGTGTGGTGTTATATAGTGCCGTTGAACAACAACCAACAAACTCAAGTCCAACGGTTGATTAATGCGCCAGTAAAATCACCAGGCGTCGACATAAGACTGTTGCTCATGCTTTGTTTGTTGGCAGCTTTGTCCTTTTGTAATTTTGATCGGGCAAAATGTAATCGATTGAAATTAACACAAGAGTAAATTGCACGGATGTAATAATATTGTAATCTAATTTCGTTACCCACCATACGAAGCATAGTGTTCGTCAATGCGAATGAGAAAAGTGTTCTGCTTTCAATATTTTTTACAAAATATGACAATGAATCACAGATTTCACAACGTTAAAACTGACCGAATATGGCCTCACAATCAACACTCTGGCCTCTGATCAAACTCAAACCACTGCTTCCGTTTTGTTCTACCCCGGGTTTTGCCTAACAGAAGCCATATTGACTGGCTGCAGACATTGTACCTATGTTTTGGTTCAAACCCTGACTTCTCGAACAAGCGATGAGGTGAAAGATTCGACAAAGATTAAAACGTTCATGATACATGTCCAGATGGGACTTTATTGTATGGCGTAAATATATACAGAGAAAACGTACAGAGAAAAATCTGCATATTCATGCCATTCATTGACTAGATGTAAAACATTTGCATAAACAGCGCTGCATATCTTAACTGGTTAAACCACCTGTTGGTGATGTGAAATAAATTATTGTCCATTTTTCACTTGTGCCTATGTCGATGACTTAGGTCAGACTGTTTCCAAATTCTGCCTCGAAGTTACTTTATCATGGGAGATAACTCTTCATGCTAGCACTGTCCTATATGGGCACAAGTTCGGTCCTTTTCTTGCCTCAAGTTCGCCATATTGCTAACAAACGTCTTGCATTAATGTGATTAGCTGGTTTAATAAGTGCGGTTTCCATCATGTATTTTCTTGACTAGAAGCAACATTATCCGGTTTTACAAATAGTTCCCGCATATGACCGAACCGCAAACTCGAGCGATCGTATCAACTGGTTCCCCTGTTCACTTGCGCAGGAAGCAAATCGCTATTATCTATTTAGGTAGACAGGAGCCCATTCAAGAATTACCAAGGATGACAGTCTTGGTGGCATGTCTTGAATGTGATTTGAAGATAACGCTTGTATGATACCATAGCCAGATACACAGCTGGTGAAAGTAAGATAAGACAGATTTCACACAGAATGCTTTACCATGCGTGGTCATGAGTTTACATGTCCTTTTCATTGACTTTACACTTTACAAGAATTAAATATGACAAATTATTTCAACAAATTGGCATCCTCGGACCAGATAATCATTTTCATGGCATACAGCGTTCTGCACTGTGGCACTCGGAGTGACGGGGCTCGGCGTCCGGCGTCCCGCGTACCGAAGTGGAGTTGGCAGCTCACATGGCCTACCCTGTTGGTGTAAGCGGACCTTTCTTGACCAGTCGTCCTGGTAACATGGAGGGATCTTCAGAAACTGGACTGTCCAGATGAAAGAAACGTGTGGAAACCCCCGATAACAATGTGATTATTGTTTCAGAATCAACTTAACTGTACACGTTCCTTTCAATGGGTCCACAATCCGTGGTGGTGAATATTGTCTCTGGAAGCAGTTCACCAAATATGGAAACAACTGATGACGATATGATTGTCTCACGTGCCGTTCACGAAGGGGGAGGGGATTTGGGTGTGGCTGATTCCGACGCCGGGGACTTCTCAAGGGGCTGGAAAGCAGAATGTTCACTGCCCAGAGTCAGGCGTGGGGTTGGCGGGGTCAAGGTCTCACGTACTGAGGTCATACGGCTGAGGTCACTCGCGCCGGCTAGTGACGCTGGGGGTAACCCCGGCAACAGTCGGAATGTCTCCATCGGGTTGGGGCTGGGGACTGGAAGCGACGGGTAGCGGAAGACGAAGGGAGATGACGTGTGTAGGAGTTTGAGACGCTGGTGACGTCGCCATTTCGCCCGTCTGTTGGAAAACCACACCTGCAAGAACATAATGTTTCTGATTACAGTGATTGTTGAGATTATAGTCAGTGTCCTTTCCACTGATCTAACCACATCCACAAGAACATAGTGTTTCTGATTACAGTGATGTTGAGATCATAGTCAGTGTCCTTTCCACTGATCTAACCACATCCACAAGACCATTGTGTTTCTAATTACAGTGATGTTGAGCTCATAGTCAGTGTCCTTTCCATTGATCTCATAATTATCCAGGATAGAACGTAACAGAGTCAACTGGAAGCGGCGTCAATGAGACAGTTTATTACCAACTATGTACCGTACTGAATGGTTAAAATAGCACCTTACATACTCAACATATGGCATTATAACCAGGTTGGCATTAGAACTAGGTTGGCATTTCAACAAGGAATGATAAGGATCGGTTGAACTGAAGATCAGCTAATGTGTTTTGGGTCCCAGAAAAGTGAGTCTGGGTTTTTTTAAATTTCATCGATTATTTTGGGAAAAACTTGATGAATGCATTCAATTCAATTTGTGAAAGATGAACTCTGTGTTCTATATCTTAACTTCCTTGTTTTTATTTTGGTTTCATGTGAACAATAGACTTTGTTTGTGATAAGTGTCATTGGATGTGATAACCTTTTGTGAACGCCCGGTATTCATGCTATGTGATACTGATTCAAAAACATGCAGTCGGTTCGTGCAATCCAAACAATTGTAGCAGAGGTTTCTCGTGATTATGGAAGAGTTCGTTGTTGTTGTTGTTGTTGTTGTTGTTGTTGTTGTTGTTGTTGTTGTTGTTGTTGTTGTTGTTGTTGTTGTTTTCCTGTTTGTTGGATATGCTTTATGTCTCACCTGCACCCTGGCCTCCGAAAGGTTGGTCTTGGCGGCGAGGTCTTCACGGGTGGCAACCCCGGGATAGTGAGTCCGGTGAAACTCCTTCTCAAGCACCTCCAGCTGCTCCTGGGTGAAGGTGGTGCGGTTCCTCCTCAGTTTCTGGTGATGGTCGGAACTGTCAGGGCTGCTGCCTAGCGGATCTGGAAGAAGCACCACTTGTGTCACAAACAGGTCCCCTGCTGTGGCAATTCGAACTCAGACTATGTGTTTATCACTGACCTAGTTAACATGAAGATGGATGTGACCAGGCTTTGTTTGTTTTGCTGTTGTGGGTTTGTTTCTGGGTTTTTTCGTTTGTTCTGTTTTGTTTGTTTGTTGGTTTTTTTTCTTGTTTTGTTTTGTTTTCTTTTTCCTTTTAAGGGTGTGTAGGCTGGGGTGTGGTTTGGTTTCTGTTTCTGCATATATTAATTTGTTATATACCTATACGGAGAATTCTCAATTCATGCTAGATCAATGTTGTTCATATTTAAAAAAACGTCCATATTTCTTCTAGTAGTGATGGGCCTTGTGTTCTTCAACGACTGCGCTTCATGTTTTGTTAGTCATCGTGTGCTATTTCAAGCACTGTTAAATGAGGTACACAGAATCGAATTGTTCGGAGGGGTTTGTGTCACGGACTTGTATGTATTGACTGTCAATTGTACCACGGGCAATGTTTATTATATAGAAGGGGATTTCCCTTGTGACGTGTTCAGGTCACGTGTTACTTTAGACCTCGAGGAAGGATAAGAGTGAGTGAGTGAGTTTAGTTTTACGCCACTTTTAGCAATATTCCAGCAATATCACGTCGGGGAACACCTGAATGGGCTTCACACATTGTACCCATGTGGGGAAATCGAACTCGAGTCAGGGGCTTGACGAACGTACGCTTTAACCACTAGGCTACCCCACCGCCCTTTGAGGAAGTGTGTGAAACATAGGACAATGATGGCGCGCAGTATAGGTAAAGCAGACTCGGAAACTAATATTGACAATAGTTTGGACATATTGCAGTCCTAAAACCAACCTTCATCTGAAGATTCACAATCTCTCTCCAGGATCCAGGGATCCTGCGGTTTGACAAAGGGGCGACTACTCTGTTGAAGGCTGCTAGGTGGCGTCACTGCTGATCCCCATAAAGGATGGTAGAGAGGCTGCAGCACGTGCGTCGCCATCTTGGCGTACTCTGCGGCAGCGCGTTCCGCGGCTCTGTTCCGGAGGATGCGGTTGATGGAGCTGACACTGGGGAGGTTGGACTGAGTGCACACGCCTGGAAAACATTATATAGCAGTGTCGTTATAACAATAGATGACAGTGTCGTTATAACAATATATAACAACATTTTGAACGCCCACCCTGCTGTGTGAGAGTGTTTTTATTAATTTTATTAAAATCTTATCTGAGTTCTGGGTCCACTTGAAAAAAAATATAAACAAAATTATAAGCGTCCAATCGCAAATGAAAAGTGCAATATTGGGTTTTTACTTCCCTAGAAACGAAGCAGCCGGGATACCGAACCCAGTCAGAGCGGCTGGGTGTGCACTCAAGTGTAAAGTGTTCGGTATCGCGGCTGCTTCGTTTCTAGGGAAGTAAACTCAAGTACAAAATATTGCACTTTTGATTTGCGATTGTACGCTTATAATTTTGTTTATATGCTTTTTCATAATCAGCAATGTATACTATATGTCATGAATAAGTGATAATTGGGTTTTAATTATGTTTGAGTTTGGGGTTGCATGTGACCTTTAATAAGCTTTGTGCAGGCGGCCCCTGACTACCGCTCAGGTTTTAGGTCATTCCATTGCGGATCACATCAGATTGACCCAACATCCGTCGCCTAGGCCATCCGTATTTTCATGTTTTTACCAACCAAAACCAACAAAAGAACGGCTGGGACAAACGAAAAGATTTTTTTTTTCAAAATACAAAATACACATTTCTCACTAATTGAGTTTTTAATGTTTATATTTAATTTTTGTTGTGTGCGTGAGCAACAAAATATTCATAACCCTAATTGTTCTGTTCGATATAGTTATAAGCGATAATAAACGCTTAGCTGTTACTTCATGAAAGAGAAATCCAGAAATATTCACCAGTCACCGCCCACGCTATTTTAGTATAGTTAGATTAACAAACTATAGTATAATGAACTAGTTTCCACCTCTTAAAAAGTCGAAGCATTCATGATCTCTAAGTTTTGTGTTCAGTATATTTTGAATTTAAAAGGTGATATTATTAACTGGATGTAACCCTATCAGCTATGTAACTCAGTTCAATCCATCCCGGTTCCTTGGATCTGCTGCGCTAACGCAGTGTCGAAGTGTTAGCGCAGCAGACCCCGGGGACAAGGCTGTGTTCAATCTTGCTTTTTACCTTCCGCTAGAAGTCTGTCACGGATCTCCCAAGCAAACATAGTTGGATTGTTCCTCTTGAGGTCCTCGATCTTAGACACGACCCCAGGTGTAGCCACCTTGGGCTTGCTTCCCCCGATACTGTTACATCGAAACGTGAAAGGGTCATATAGGCGGCCTGTGAACATAGAGTGAAACATTGAGCGAGATGATATCAACTTTGAAACAAATTGACATTAGAGTCCTACCCTTAAAAGTGAGTGAGTTTAGTTTTACGCCGCTTTTAGCAATATTCCTGCAATATCACGGCGGGGGACACCAGAAATGGGCTTCACACATTGTACCTGTGATGAATGGAACCCGGGTGTTCAATATGGCGTGACGAGCGAACGCGTTAACCACTAGGCTACCCCATCGCCCCTGCCCCTAATATGGTAGCGGTTAAGGTTCTAAAAATAATTTGGTGCTCTAAGAATTAAAAAGAATAGTTCCAAAAATAATTTGGTGATCTGATAAATTAAAAAGAATAATTCGACCTTTTCCATGTCTGCTTTATCTGACTTAGAAACCGTGTGGGAATAAAATATGTCTAATTAATTGTGAAGATGAGACTAATATCAAAGGGCAAAATTCATAACAATAAATTCCAACTTTTCAAAACATGACTTTAAAAGCATTTCCTACTATAAGTAGCGGATTAGTAGCCGAATTCCTAGCAATATCATGATCACCAAGCAAATGCCAAAGCGATCTCCATGAAAACATCTTCAAAAAGTGCCGCCCAACATTGTCGAGCACATCACGGATCTAGAAAAGCTTCACATTCACTGCTGACGTAATATGTTCACAATATGCAAATATATTTTAATAATTACAACAAATGAGGAAAACCCATACCTCAGTTAGATTTAGCATACATTTGATTTTTAAATTCACATGTTTTAAGTTTGATAAAAGTTTGATATTATAAAAAATTAAATGAATTAAACTGGTGCTTAGTGAGCAGACAAAGAAAACTGTATGTTTTTATTGTATAGAATATAATTTTATTCAAAACCTTTAAAAGTCAAAAGAAAATGTTTCAAAGGTCGTATGGCTGCATATTCATTTCTAACCCCTGTCTTCATTGAACCAGTTTTTGTTACACATAATGACACAACACAAACTGTTGCAGGAACGAGTGATGGTTAATATGACATAATTATATCTACAAACAGTTCTTTCAATTTTTAATTGCGTATAAAACATACCCAGTATACTCTTTTTGCACCTGTTAATGCTTTTCAAGTCATTACTTATGCAATCTACCGCTACATTAAAGCCTGTATTTCCTACCCACGTGGTAATAACGGGTTTTAATTAATAGGAAAGGAAATGTTAACCTAAACAAAATCTCATGATGAGTGGTTCCCTTGAAAAGTGTTTAAAAATACATACAATTTTTAAACGTAATGTATTTGATAAAAAATCTCGATTAAATTGAAAAAGTGAAAGTGCCTTTAAGTGCGGTTGTTTCAACATCTCCCATTTTCTGTTCCACACAATTAAACATATTATGGTACCACTGCTTTGAAATATTAATTGTGTATTGAAAACCATTCTATAAATTTAATAAGCCGTAACCTGTCAACTGATTATAAACGTCATTAACGTTGATCGGCTAATGTGATATATAAAATAGTCTATTTATTTGTTATGTTTTGAAAGTGCAACGACTGTCACGTCTCAGAGTAATTAAAATTTATGCTCAGTCCATGATTTTTTTACAGTGGGGGCTGGTAATACTAAGCCTTATCTCACAGGTGTTGCACATGAATGATATACGACAGAATCTGGTGTAGAACACAGATCATAATTGAGGTTTCTGAAGCAGCTGTGCCCCGGGAAACGGTTTATTTCATTCGGGTATTTTTTACATAATCAAAATTAGTAAGTGATAGTTTTGCTTGATTTTCGAAATAAGTGCATACACGACAATGCCGACAGCAGGTTGTTGCTTTTAGTAAAACTAAAAAGTTGTTGATTTGTTTTGGGATAATATTCATATTATTCATACGACCGTTAATGAAGAGCTAGACAAATACATTCCACATGCATGTAATGACATCAAAGGTATTAAATACGGTATTTCGTCATTGTTCGTACTACGACAGTTTGTGATCACAGAGACCGACACATCCACACACGCTTGCTCCCACGCCCGGGGTCAAAGAGGTTCAGGGTTAGCTCGTTACCCCTCAAATATTTCCATCTACCCACCTCCCCCTGGTGGAAGTCACGCGCCCCCCACGCGCTCCGCACGAGCCAAATCTACTTCTAGGCACGCGCCGCCACCTGTTGGGGCGGTTTGTTTTAAGTGAATTAACAAAGTGACAACAGAAGCATTAACAGGTGTTTGGATTTGCGCTTGTACGACAGGAAAACTGTGAGATTACACCACGAGATCTGATCAAGTGGACATGAAACGTGATTATCAGGTTTCAGAGAAAACTGCGGGGTTCTCATCGCGACGCTCGTGAAAAACGCTCCAGTTAAAGATAAGGAAGGCTTACTGGGCGTTTAAGCGATTTTCGATACGTAATTTGTTCCGAAAGTAATAAGACGTACGGACTAGCGTAAACTCTATCCTGTTTTACATCACCCTTTGGATTATTTGTTGAGAGAACACTGACCCCTTACAATAAACAGTAAGTGCTGTTCTCCGTTGATTGTGTTAAGTTCCCTCTGTGAATTAGCGGTGCACGAGATATATCGATTTTCATATCTGCGTGCTTAAAATTTAACAAAAGCGGAATGGGATGGTTGACATGTTTCGAACAGTGTTCTGTGAAATAAATTTGAACATTTTCAAGTGGGTAACTATTGACTATATTTCAACTTCATACATACCACTAATAAAACATAAAATATACTTTATCTTTCAACTGTACTATGGGTCATGTGGTTTGAATAACGAAACAATCTTGACTGACTGATGAACAAAAACACCCTAATAAACCCGCTCAAAAATGTTAAGTTCAACTTTAATTATCTTGAAGGAAAACCAAGTTTATGGATAGTCAACTTCTGTATTGCAATGAGTGCGACGTTTCGGGTGTAGGTACTAACACCGTTATCAAGCAAGCAAGATAATTATCTTAAACTTAAATATTCGCTCACTTGATATAAAATTACATTTTTGTTATTATATTGTGTAAGGGTAGGTTCACACCTGAAATGTAATTGTCCGAATTACACCACCAAGCAACGAAGAATGATATAAAACGATCGCAGTTGTTTAACCTAACCTCTTTGGAAATAAAAAAATGATTATAAGAAATTCTCTAAATAAGTTATGCTTTCATGCTGGTATTTTAAGCACTGTCTGTGTACCTTTATGAAATTGTTTAACTTTTAATCTTATTCAGTTTTAAAGTTCCGTACATAATAATTTAGTGTCAATGACATTTTTAACGTATTTACGGGAAAAATATTATTAGCTTATTCTTGTCGATAACCAAAATAACAAAATTATGTTAAACTAACGTTAAATTAAATGAAACAGGTGAAGTTCACAGATGCACATTGAATTCTGCAGATGAAATATTGTCGACGTGTTACAAATGTTGACCTTTGCACTAATTTTTTTTGAACGTAGTCAATTGTGCCATAGAAAACATAGCATATGTTTGCGCATGATTTGCACATTTATAAACATGACAAGCTGGTCAAATTTAGCCTAAAGCATGTATTTTACATAAAATATACACAACATCATATTGTTTGATGAAAATACCGGCAAGTAATTATATAGAAAAAACATTACTCTGTATATATATCTTTTATATGACATATTCGTTAATCCGCATGATGTCACAAAGCAGAGTGTATTCCGGATTGACGAGGCTAGGCTTTAACGCATGCGAAATGGACCTGGTAGTGTTGCCTTCTGTGACCTTGAGCACTTGCTTCCGATGCACGGAGAATACGTGTTTATCTAGCGCCTGTCAATCAAATGTGCTGATGTACATTGATTACACTTTGTAATCAAAACAAGTGCTGAAATTGACAAGAAAGGCCCGATCATATCATATGAGGGAGCAGGTGGGAGGATACGAGTCTTGTACAGGAAGTAAATACAATATACACCACCTAAGTAGAGAATATGAATTTATACAGGGATTTCATTTATGTATTTTCTGACCTATAGCGAGATCCCGTGATTTTTGTTTCAAAATTTGTCAGTTATGTAAATCAAGATGGTTTACACTTAACGTATAGTAGATCGTGATATATAATATATCAAAACATTTCCCAGCGAATAAACACTACTTCGCTAAGTCTACTCTACTTTAATTTTGTTTAAATTTCCGGAAGAGGTGCCGTGTGCTCCTCTATATTATAAATCATAAAAATAGCTCATACAAAAATTAATAAAAAATGAAAAGTAAGTCTGTCGTGCGGGAAATCGGACCCGTGTCTTCGCGGTTGCTCTAACCATAAGGTCACTCTCGTTGTGACGAAATTGGCGATCACGGCTGTCACCTGTGAAACTCGTGACTTAAATCGGAATTTACTTTGTTCCGTTGTTGGGGCTTTCAATGTCAACCTGACCCTGACGTTTCTTGTTAGAACAGCTAACCAGCAACATACGCGACTGACTGCATCAGTAGTCACATTCAGCGCCCTTCAGTAACCCGACTCTCATCATAGGGGCGTGTCTCGCTTAGAAACAGCGTTAGAAAGACATATAGGTGTATAGACCCAACCCTATTACTATATAAACATAAAAGGATCCTTTTATATAGTAATAGGGTTAAAAAGGTTCTTTTTGTATAGTAATAGGTTGGGGTTCTATACACCTATATGTCTTTCTAACGCTGTTTCTAAGTGAGACTCGCCCCTATGACTCTCATAACATCAATCACTGATTTGTTTACTGATTATCTACAGGTCGTGGTCAAACAATTGAAAAAAAACAACACATTCATTCGTTCATTCATTCATTGATATTTAATACTCTTTTTGTAAATGTCTTATTCATAGGGTAAACGCGACGACAATTAATAACCGCCAATGTGTGTCAGGTCAGTTGGATATCAACACGACAATAACGAAAGAAGTAGCTAAAGTGAATTATTCAAAGAATCTGTGATGTTCAACCATGCATGTCAGCACCACAGTGCGTAAGTAATTAAA